GTGTTCGCGGGCAGTGAGGCGGCGGCGCGGCGGTTCCTGCCCAAGAGTCGCATCTCCACGGTCATCATCCGCGACAACGCGAGCGCGCAGCGCCTGCAGGACCTCGAGGTAACCGGCCCCCGGGGCCTCCCCGCTGCCCCGGCCCGGCCCGGCCCCCTGCGCTCAGCGCCCGGCCCCATTGTCCCAAAGGCGAAGCACTTGGAGCAGCGGAGTAGGAAGACGAGCCACTTCCACGAGCACCTGAGGAAGAAGTTCGTGGGTGAGCAGCAGAGGAAGATGTCCCGCTGGAGGAGGGAGGCCGACAAGTTTGGGAGGCTGCTGGAGCTGGTGGGGCAGCGGACCAGGAACCTGGCGAGCGCGGCCTCGGCCAGTCTGGCGCTGCGCAGGTCCCAAGCCAGGAGCCGCGACCTCAGCCCCAAGAAAGACGCAGCTGTGATGTCTGAAAAGTGACCCGGGCTTGGAGCCGTCTTGCTCTTCCCTCTGCTCAGGGCTTTTTCCAACCTACCAGTCAGCCGCCTTGCTAGCAAGGGGGACAGCAAGGGAGTTGAAGCAGTTGCCGGGTATTACTAGTTAGAGCAATAAACCAGCACAGGTGTCAGGCTGTTTCTCTGGGTCATGTTCCCAGCCAGTGAGGTTGGGGTGGAGGCACAGCACCGCCACGGGATCCTTCAAGGCTGTCCCAGGGTGTGAGGAGATAAGCGAGATGTGAGGACGGGCACAGGTAAACGCAGGCTCAGGTTTGTCCCTGCCAGGCCAGTCCCTCTGCAAGGGGGTAAGCACTGTAATATATAAACTAGTTTCTGAAATTGGGTGCCACTCGATTCTCAGAAGTTTACGGAGGCTGCCCCCGGTCCAGGAAAGTTGGGAACCGATATTCTAAACCAGTAGGGCTAAACCTTTTGGCAGACATGCCGCAAATTAGCCCTGCCACCTTCCTGAGTGCCACTCTAGTCCCCTTCACCTTCCTGTTCTGCTTTCTGCTTCTCACTTTATCTGCTGCCGTACCATTTGTTCCCTCCCTGATATTGCTGCATGCCACAAAGGCTGCTTATGGCATCTGTGCTGCAGGTTGACCACCCTTGCCCTAAACAGAGAGGACTACAGTAGTGAGTGAAGCGTAGGGTGGGAGCAGCACAGCTTGGGACAGATGTGAGGTAGAAAGAAAACTTTTCAGGAGACAGACTTGCACTTTTCCAGTAGAAACTGACATTAGTTGGGTGGAACTTTCTATTTGGTTTGTGCCCCCCATGGAAATTTACCCTGAGTCCAAAGAGAACATGTAGGAGCTCTTCTGAGGACAAACATTTCTGAGAGTGTCAGGTGCTCATGAAGGGTGAGTAAGTCCCCTGTGGGGGGAGGAAGGAGGGGAATAATTTGTTGAAGGAGGTTGAGAACAAGAGAAAGGAATGAAGGGCTGTGGATGAAAAGATGTCTTTTGCACCTGGGTGCAGTTTAGCAGGGATGCAGTACTTATCTCATTGCTCTGATTTGAGATAGTGGGGTATGTGGTGATCAGGGCAGAACTACCAGCCCCTAGCCAGAGACTTGATCCCTGTTTGACAGAACTGGGTTGGTGACTGTAGCGAAGTGGAGAGAGATTTTCTTCTCACTTGCCTACCTCCTTTATCTTATCCTGACAACACAGTGAGAGCACTACCCATCTTCAGAATGCCAGTCTGCTCTGCCAGGCCAGATAGAGTGAAATGCTCACCACTGGCGACGCGTAGGGGGTGCACACGGATGCACATGCATCCCCTGAGATTGGCTGTGACCCCCCTGAGAGAAGTGCTGGTGGCACTTGTGCTGGCGGTGGCAATTGGCTGCTTGGGGACCAAGCACTACAACCCATTAACCAGAGAGAGGTCAACAAACTAGAGGGGATTCAAAGAAACACAGAAGAAGGGAGCTGGAGCAGTGGCCTGCAGATCAGGCTGTGATGACAAACCCACCTATTGGGGTGAGGAAGGCTGGGCCTCTTGGACTGGCGTCCTGGTAGTCTGGGGCAAGAATTTGAAATCAGGCACAGAATCCTGACAGGGATCCTACTGACCATCTCCTTGGGACATATCCAACTTCATACCATACCTGAGACCTGCTGCCAGGTGCCACCCACCAGCTTGTAAATGTTAACCTTGTTTACGCCCCAGACTCCAGCAGGGCCCACTGTGACATGCTGCAGGGATCCCGGCAGCTGAACCTAAGTGTTTCCATATAGTGTGTAAATATTGTCTCCGCTGTTCACTCCTAACACGTGCCCATTGCTGGCATCAATCTGCTTTAAGGACCCCGGTACCTCTGTGCAATTGAGAGCTGAAAAATATATGAAAAAGCCATGTTTATGGACTTGTTAGCT